AAAGGGCCACACCCACCGTTTATACAAGATCAAGTCCTTTTTGCCTAAAAATGCTCCAGACCAAATAAGGATAAAACCCCCTTATCCCTACAGAAGAAGCAGGGTTTTAAAGATTTTACCTCTATTCCCCCTATTGGGGCACGCCCCTCTCCGCCCAGGGGATCCAAACCCACCATTTTAACAAGATTGAGTCCCCTTGGCCCATGGATGCTCATACCAAATTGTGACGAAATCCCACACCAATCATTTATACAAAATTGAGTCCCTTTCCCTAAGGATGCTCCAGGCCAAATTAAGTCAAAATCTACTGTGTCGTTCAGGACAAGTGGCATTTTAAAGGGAACCCATGGCAACGGGCAATATGCCTACTCCTAACACGATTTCTCACCAGTGTGAGAAACCGTGCATAGGTGAGAAATTGTGTTGCGAATTTGGGGTGAGACATTCTGCCGTAACATACGATCCCTGATCTGAATTATAAATGAGAATATCTCGGTATTTTCTTTGTTTGTCAAAGTATACTCGATCTACAGTTTTTGTTAGCATATGCAACCTAAATGGCACAATGATTTGTGTATAGCACAGACAATATATGTCATTCTAACGTAATATGATCCGAATGTCGAACCATCAATCAAATTAAATTAAATATATACCACAGTGCCAAAACACCAAAATACATTTTAGAAGTGCCTTTGACTCTGATCCTTACCGTATATATATAGTAGGAAGTATTATAAATAAATGATTTTTTTTTCATTCTTGATGCATATTCCATTTATTTACAGAATATATATGATCTAGATATTACGTTACTAGACCGTTGTACCATTCTGTACTCAGATATAACGTATCCAAATACCAATATATCAATCACCCCATTCTCACATGATAATAAAGAGATTAGTATAGACACATGTGACTAGAAATGAAGACAAATAATACATGTTTGATTGATGAAAGACTTTTGATTGCGGTTTGTTTCAACCAATGACCTAGCCTCTCTCGTAGACTGTCAGGTAAATGTCCATCATATTTATAAGCAATCTCTTACAGACTATTCGAGAATATTATTCATCAGATTGGACACCCAATTTGCGTACACTTCCTCTCATTTGAGACTGCAATATTGGTAGATTACTACTGTGAAAAAGAAAGCCTGCTTTAGAGGCAAGATATGGACATACACTAAGTATATTAGATGAATAAAAATACAACGCGTTAAATTGGTGTTATCTTTATTGAAAAAACACGAAATGCATAGGTTAGTGGTAAATCGTACAAATTAACAAACAGCCAAATGCGATACATGTTATGTACATTTAAGTTTTATCTAAAGGTGAATACAGTATAATTATGTAAAGACATTTAGACATAACAGAGATACCCAAACGAGTTTCCACAGCATCGTTTTGATAATAGTTACTTTAGTGAGCTTATAATTGTCAATAAACATTGAAACACGTTTCAGATTCTCTTTTATCATGATGCGCACATGTACATAAATGTAGAAACAAAATTACACAAAATTCTTATTAACTCATTCACCCATGAAGGAAGATTTGATTTCTTCTAATTCAAAGGTTGGAATAGTTAATTATAAAACTTCAGGGGTGAATGAGTTAAACCGAAAGCATTGATAAGTAAGCAACATATTGAGTCTACATGTGGTGTTAATACAAGCATGGAATACAATACACGGAGTGTTATTCAATATGCAATTATTTCGAAAATGTTAATAGACATATTAAAGTTTCAATTCAGAGTAATAAACTGTTATTAGGGCCTGTATTCATGAAACTTTTTTCAAAGCTTGAGCACAGAATCTGTGCATGAGCATGAGAACGGTTTCATGAATACGGGCCCAGGTGTATGCTTCGTGACACATATGTAAATTAATTCCAAATTAGTTTATCAAGATGTGCGGTAACCATCTTGTAGCAGACATTTATTTTGTTCAATACTGAACCAATTTAGCAATAAATATACCATGTAAAAAGGACATCACCGTCTCGTTATACTAAAAGTAAAAACTTCAAATTATAATAGCTGGACATTAAATGTAGAAATATACCTAAATAAAACCATCAAATTCAGCAAACTATACTTAAATGTCGGTAATCATACCACGGCAAGAGGTCATACCATAAGTAGGAAATAGAATAGAATAAAAAATAAGTCTAACATATCTTGAAGGTAGAACAGAGAAATGTTCAACCCTCGGGATGACGATTTGGTTGTGTATCCCTTTAGCCGAGAGTTGGATCACCAAATGCTCATCCAAAGGGTAGGATATTTCTCTGTCAAATCTTCAATGTAGGGGACGATTCTATAAAACCTATATAGCTTTCAACCATGGTACATTTTGTAAGCTAAAACGTTTATTCATAATAACTGGATTATCCGAATACGATGCCATGCAAATCTATCTATATTTGTGTTAACGTAGTTTAGCAGTTTAACAGCAAACTAAAAATATTGACGTTTACATTCGATTACGATTTCTGCACTTCAAATTAACATTATGTATATAGCATACAGTTCACAAGCAGCATTCAGGGCGAGTCCTCATTTTGCACAAGAAGGTTGTACTCCACATCCGGCTTTCTCTCCTCTTGCTTCTTCAGATTGGAGACCAACACCAGCAGATGTGTCACTGCGAGTAAGATGGAGACAAGCACTGCTACAAAACCCAACACCAGAAATCCGTAGCCTTGATCCGTTACCTTCATCATGGTATATATGTCTCCCAAACGCGATATCTGATGCAGTTGTTGCGCATATGCACCTAGTGTGACGCCCAGCAGTATGGCTGAAACAGTAAAGGAATATTATAAAATCGGAAATGATATTAAGATATAGCTTCGGCCGTAATTTGATAAAATGGTCAAAGACCACTTCAATTCAATGACAAGGGACATAGTCAATTCACAACCGGACCAACGAATTGGTCAATTAAACGTGTAACAAGTTACACATATTTTAAAATGGATTTTTGCCAAATTTGCCCATTTTCTTCTCTTTCAAGACGCTCTAATTTATGAATCCATCTCAAAATATCTATAAAGACGAATTATTTCTTCATAATAACTACATGTAAAACTATGACAACGTCCATGATAAATTGACCCATGAGAAATATATTGATATCAAGTATTACATGAAAATTTGTTTTTGTCTTTAAAGACCCAATCTTAATCAATGTTAGATTAATAAATCATTTAACCCAATTTAGCGTTCACACATTTTAAAATAACCATTATCTGCTAACTGGCAATGGATAGCCTACAATCTATTTTGAAACGGCATCTGCAGATTAGAGAAAATGAAATCGTTAAAATAGGACATATTGGTCTGGTTGGTAGCATATGCAATGCTTTTCTTTGCGGAAATGTTTCCTATACACAAACATACTCGCTAAAAACCTCATTGGTTCATACCTGCGACCAAGTGACTCAGAGCTGAACAGGTGACGACCAGTGGTTCCATCAGCCCTTCTTTCTCACGCATGCTTACAGATGACGTCTTAAGTGCGATGATGGCAAACACCAAAGCCAGAGTCACTTGTATCTCGAAACGAAGGGCCACAGTCCCCACTAGATCTGAAAAATTGAATTGAAATTTACCCTGTAGTTAATTAATTTAAATTTTTAAACATAATTAATTAAGTTTTTGATTGTCGATAACTAGGGCGGTTGTTGACATCTAACCACGGAGACCGGTTTAAAAACGATTTGCATCACGTTCGAGTTTCTCTCGAGGTACAGGCCAGGAATTACTGAGTTTACGTCATTTTGACAAAAACTGGATATATATCCGTATTGCATCCAAAATTAAAGTTGTACTGTATTCTTCGCCAATCACCATATAAACTGTATGTCTTTACCCCCGACTTATTGAATGAAGCTGCTAGGATGTGTTTTTCATTTTTAATTACATGTACCCAATAATGGGTACATGTTACAGTCTGAGCGTTATTTTATTGGTCAATATTTCAACGAAGACGTCATGCTGCAATGATGTACACTGACATCCTCTATTGTGACGTCATAATTCTCGTATTTATTGGCAATTGTTTCTCCGATCGAAAAAAAGGAATCATGAACTTCAGAAAGAGGCATATGGTTTTCAATATAATATGTTATCTGTTTATAATATATATCTTACTTTTTTAATGTTCAAATTGTAAAACCCTGTGTCCTTAAACAATGTGAAAAATACCTAAATAAAGTTAGGTACAGACTAACCACGATCACTAACCACAACTTTTTTGGGGAACTTTATATATTCTTTTTAAAAAAAATGCAATGCAAATGCAACGTATGTTAAGAAACGTGAATTGAAAGTATAATTAAACGAATAGTGTATGATTTCATTTTAATTGATATGTACCTCTTATTTCAGACATCTGTATATACTTTGTTATCATATTATACTTATATTAAAATGCCAATTGCACTATACATGAAAGCATAGACCACTCCACTTGGCTGCAGCGGCGGATCTCCAGACACCTATCTGGGGTGTGGGGTGTGGGTGTCCAAGTGGGGTAAAACTGTGAGGAAAATAGTGAAACTACATGATTTTTAAAGAAAATTATCGGGGGGGGGGGGGGGGGGGG